CGCAAAGATCAGGTAGACCTGCTTCTGTGCGCCAGTACTGAATTCTGATTTTTATACCTAGGAGTTGGGTAGCTCAGTGAGGAGGCAGTGCACGTAGAGTTACATAGGGTTCTAAATTTAATTCACTTAAATCACGAAATGCGGGAGCCTTCACTGTTGTGATGAATTTTTAATGTAACTTGAGCACGCCTTCCAGAATTTTGTGTTTTCTCTGAAGCCTGCACATTTTTAAGTGAAACATTATTCTGTAGAATTTGCTAGTGTTTGACCAGTTTTAGTAGATAGTAGAACACAGTCCAGACCTAGGTTAAATTATTTATGTGATGCTTCAGGCAATTTTCATTTTGCAACTTGCATCCCAGGCACCAGAGGTATAATGCTAGACATTATCTATAAAGAGTAGCCGTTATGACTGTTGGACTTCTCTATAATGGTAGCTATTTCACTAGAAAACCCAGTTTTATTGGTACTATTTAATGGTGAATCATATTTGCTTAGATTGAGGTTCTGTGTCTCAATTGACTGATTAGCGTTGACTGAGAAGTGTTTCTGGCATCAGATAACATTGAAATGGTAAAAAAAATTTGCACTCTAATTTGATTCTTGTTCCTTTCCTATAAATGCAGTGGACATCTCTACCACTTTTCTTTCATTTGCCCTTGAAACCAAGTGAGACAACGCATAGAAAGTGTTTTGTAAGGGCGCCTGGGTGGCTCAGTCTCTTGAGTTTCTGACTGTTGGTTTTGGCTCAGGTCATGATCTCAGGGTTGTGGGATTGAGCCTTGAGTGGGGCCCCACGCTCAGCAGGGAGTCCGCTTGGGATTCTCTCCCTCCACTCCTTCCCTGCTCATGCGCATGCGCTCTCTCTCATAAATAAAATCTTTTAAAAACAGAAATTGCTTTGTACAGAATATGGTATTTTTACTGTGTCATTACTGGTCTTAAGAAATGTAGTAGCAAGAACACCTTTAGCATCATCATCCTTGTGGGTTCATTCTGGCTCTAGAGCTAATTTAGTTGCGTGACCTTGGGCAGATGACTTCACGTCTCTGGTCCTTGGGTATCTGTAAGATGAGAGGCGTGGATGGGGACGTCGGGGTCTTCGGCAGAAAGTGGTAAGAGCATCTGTTTTGCGGCGCGGGCGTGGCACGGGCCTGAGAGTAAGTATACCGAGTGGGTCCTCCTGTCAGCAGCTGAGAACACAGTTAAAGATTAATTTTTTTAATTTTTATTTTTGTGTGTGTGAGAACCTTGATGCAGTAGGTAACTGCTCTTTTCCTTCTGTTTATTTCATTCAGTTTTCTTCATAACTGTGTGTGTACTTCTTTTCCTTATATACATGAAGTTTGTCCTGTCTTCCATTATGTTCTTTGTTGGCGTTTCCATTTCACTTTCCTTGTGTTTCATTCCTGTATCTTTCTTGTTTAGACCAAGTGGAGCACGCAGCTGGCAGTAGCTTCTATGTAGGACCCTTCAGGCACCTGATGGTAAGTGCACACGTGTACTTACCAGGCTCCCAGCGGGCTCTGCCGGCCGGACCCATTCCCGAGGCCCCTCCTGCCTCACAGACGCGAACAAGTCCCCACGCCCCTTTGTAAGAGTCCTTAGAGGTTGTTTTGGTTATAGGCTTGTTTTTGTCTTCTCTTTTAGTTTGATTACAAATAGAACAGAAACCAAGTATCAGGAAAAGAAATTTACTTACAGAATTGTAGCAGGTTCCCCCACCTGTTACTCTGTTACCGCAGTATTTGGCTTTGTGAGTGACACCAAGCATGCCTAAGTGTGAGTCGGGACACCCGGGCCCTAATTTCTGTTCTCTCGTAGACTGATTATGAGTCCCGCTGGGGCCTTGGCCTTCATTTTTCTCTCAAAATAGCAGGTAGGACAGGTGGTTTCCATAGCCCCTTTATCTCTAGTCTACGGTCCTAATGGAAAGTAACTCCAGTGTTAGATGGTTCTGATTAAGATTGTGAGGATCATTTCATGTGTCTGGTAATCTCAGTCTCATGAATGAATGATAATTAGATTCATGATAGACTCATTTCCACGATAAACTAAGTCTGTTAGTGTTCACCAAAGTTACTTGGGAATACATTTAATTGTTCTTTAATTTTTACAAGTGGTTTATTAGTGGGATTCAAAAACTTTTAAAATTCTTAAATATATAGACTGCAGAACCCCATTATATCTTTCGTGACCTGTATTGTATTGGTTCAGCCCAGTGGTTCTTAACCTGGGGAGGCCTCTCATCCCTACCCCGGACATTCGGCCGTGTCTGGAGACTTTGGCTTGTCACAGTTAAAAGTGGAGGTGCTGCTGGCATCTAGTGGGTGGAGGTCAGGGGATGCTCCTGAACGTCCTCCAGCGCATCGGACAGGCCCACGACAGAGGAAATCATTTGCGGGACGCCCGGGCAGCCTCTGGGCCTCTCAGTAGGATGCACGTGTCCCTACTTCAAGTGGTTTCTCTTCAGAGGGAATCAAGGTTTCCTGGTCTTGTTTTTTAAAGAGGGCACCTGGAGGTGGCGGGGAGGGGGTTGTGCACTTCTCACCGATTCAGTTTAGAGAGGCCAAAAGTAGACACTGACATTCAGTATCAGCTAGGTGTTTTAATATTCTTTTAGGCCGGGAATAAAACTTAAAGTAGTACTTTTGCCTTTTAGATAGTTGTGTGATTTCAGTCTGAATATGTATTAGTGAATGGTATTATTAAAATTGTGCTGTTTCATTGTAATATATATCTAGGAACTTCACTTATTTAATACTCTGTTTATATATATGGCCAATTTTTTGTATGACCTGCTAACCAGCTTTGTATAGCACTTGAGAGGCTGCAGAAAATCTTTGAATTGCTTTTGTAAGGGATTGTATTACAATAAATTGACATCTGTTTTTCTGTTAAATTTCTCAGTGTGACTTGTTTTAATGTAAGATTTATGCGTAACAGGCCAAGTGTCCACTATGCCTCCATTTTTACTTATTTCAAAAGCTCAGACCTCTACAGAGTAGGAAGTAAGGGGTGAGAAAGGGTCATTCCTTGGGCTGTTTGGGGTACATGAGGTGGTACATAATGTCTTACAACATTTTTGTGTTTGTGATCCAGGGAAAAACTTCCCTGGATATAACTTTTGAATTAAGCATCCTGGAGCCCAGGAGTCCTTACACGGTCCTCAGCAGACATGGGCTGCAGCGTTAGGGCAATTCTGTTAGCTGCCCGTAATCATTCCTGCTACACCAGTGATTGGGTAGGGACTGGGCATCACACAGAGGGAAGGGCATCTGTCGTCGTGAGGATAAGAGAACTGGCTGGAAGTAGATGGAATCCAGACGTCCTGAAGCATAGCTGGATTCCTCAAGAACCTTGTCATCATCAGATTTAGGTTTAGTGCCCTTCAGTTGACAAAGGGAGAAGGAATTGCAAGAGGAGGTTACTTCTTCCACTGTGAAAAGGTGTTTTCGTGTCCTTGCCCTTTACAGAGGGGATTGGTTTATAATGCTTCCACCTGCAGGCTCTTGGCTTCTCTTCTTACCAGCATGTGGTTCCAGTGAAGTGCCTGCTTGGGTCCTGAGTTCCATTTTAGATGCCTTTGGAAATGAGGGATGGACATGTTATTGGGAAGTTATTTGAGCGAACTCTTAACATCATGGCAGAAAGCGTCAAAGCATCTTTTTTTTTTTTCCCAGGGACCGAAGACTTAGGAATTTAAAATAGTATTTTAGAATTTGCCTAAGACTGACAAATGGCCGATTATTGAGTATTTTGTACTTTCCCCCCCCTTGTTTCATCTCTTAATTATTTGCCAAAATCTGGTGGTGCTTTTTTTAGGATTAGTATTTGCTTCATATGATAATCGATGTTTCCATTTTTAACTGTGATGAACTTCTCAATGTTACTTGTGTGTGTCGCACCTCATTTTCATGTGTTGTCTCTATTTTCGTTACTGATGTTCCTCAGTAGTGGTGCTCTGTTACAGAGAATACCGTTTTCCAGGAGCACTGAGTGGTTTCTAGTTTGTCAAGAGGCTTGTTCTGAAAGAGAAAGGACCGCTCTGTGAGGTGTGCTGGGGAGAGCATTGCAGGAGGAGAAGAAAGAAGTGTTCGGGGAGGTTGAGGAGGGAACCTGCTCTGAATCTGAAAACTGAACAAGAGCTACCAGGAAAAAGAAACTTGGAATTAAAAGAAAAATAGAAAAGAAGGGCCACAAATTCTGGTTAAATCCCAAAGAGACTCAGCTTCCAAACCTTCAGTATTAGTACTTTTCTAGAGAATGGCTTATCCATATTGAATATCTTGGTGACCTGAGCTCATTGTTCCAGCTTGTCAGAAACGCATTGCATTTTAGTCTTACCTTCTAAACTATGGGATTGGTTGGAATGCAGTTAGTGTTTCCTGAATTCCATTCTTCCAGTTGTTAATGAAATCCTGAATTGTACTGGACTTGGAGTCGAGTCCCTGGGGACCCTCAGAATTCATGCCGGCTTGACAGTGAAGTATTTGTAATTACTCTGCATTTGATATTTGAGCCACTGCGCATATGCATCCTTTGCGATTCAGCGGAGCCTGCTTCTGGTGTTTTGCTTTGACAGTTGTGGATAAGCGTGTCTTAACTAAAAGGGACCCAAGTTATACCGTCTTTTTTTCCCCAGTGTGCTTCTTACAAACAATCAGACTTTGCCAGTCCTTATTACTTGTGTGGTATTGAAACTCGGTGTTAGTTGTCTCTCTCATTTTCCTCTGACATCAGTATTTTTAACTTTTCTAGAATAGATGAGCTGTTAGTTTGATAGGGGAACTAATGCCCAAGAATACAGGGTTTATCGGTTGCTTTTTTTTCTCTAACATGACTTAAAAGTATTCTTATTCATTGTCTGTTCCTTTCTTAACTGATAGGATAATTGCCTAGAAATCTACAGTTTGCTGTCATTGGATTAGTAATTGTCTTTTTCAAGAATTCAGGGTAATAGTGAGTGAGTAAGTAAATAAATACATGTTGTGTTTTAGGGAAGAAAAAATCCCAGGAAAGTAAAAACAAAGCAAACAAAACCGAAGACCTACAGCTGAAGACTAGCGAGCCAGATTCTGCTTCTGCAAATATGAGAGATTCTGCGGAAGGTAAGCTTGGAAGTTGGACTTGTATGATTTGGGTATGTATCACCAGTTACTGTAAATCTCCTTGGGATGCCCTTTTGAGGCTTCACCCAAAAACTGGAAAGGGTTAACAGCAAATGGCTACCTGAATTTAATGCGGTGAACTGAGCCTTCCACATCTCACCTCCCCTTAAAAATATTATTAAAGACGTTCTTTGTTAAAAACGGAACTATTCCCTGGTTAAAATGAAATGAAACATACTATGTGATTATATTTATAAATACTTTATAAAGTTCAGAACCATCAAAACAAATCTCTGGTGATAGAAGTCAGACTGGCAGGGACTTGAGAAGGCTTCTCGGACACTGGCACTAGTCCATCACTGAGCAGTGGGGGGGGTACAGCAGTGTATTTACTCTGTAAATGTTTTATCTAGCTATATACTTATGATTTATATACTTAACATTGTTATGTTTTGCACTTCAGTTAAAAATTTACTTGAAACATCAAACACCTATGATTTTATATACCAGCATGAAAAGTGTGCAGAGTGAAGAGTTCTTTTTTTTTTTTTTAAGATTTTATTTATTTGAGAGAGAGGGAGCACGAGCAGGGGCAGAGGGAGAAGCAGACTCCCTGCTGAGCAGGGAACCCACCGTGGGGCTGGATCTTAGAACCCTGGGATCGTGCCCCTTGTATTTTGTTAGAAATTAAATTTCTATTTTATTTCCTCGTGTTTCTCCACTCCACATTTTCTTCTTTATCATCCCTTCTAAGGCTTGATATTCTAGGCCCTCCATGATATGAGAATTCAGAGAGAGGCATGGATTGAAAGTTCATCAGAAAGGCAGATTGCTTTGTGCTCCTTGTAGTTGAACGACCATATTGAGACCATTGATAATAGAAACGAGGGAGGCGTGTATTAATTCGTTATGTGGCAAATATATGCAGAGACTGGAGCTTTCTAAGAATTGTTTGTAGTGACCTAAACAGGCAGATTTCAAAATATAGGCTTGTGACTCTTTCAAGAAACATTTGTAGAGAAAAAAAAAAAACCCAACAGAATATTTTGGATGCCTTTTATAAAGGGCGAAAGATTGATGTGATCTGAAGAGAAACCCCAGAGTATTTGGATGCCTTTTATAAACCACTTTATTAGCACTGTTTGCAGTGATGACATTCATAAAGGATTATAATTTCCTGTGGCATTTTGTGAATCAAGAACGGACAGGTTGATTTCCTAGAGCCTTATAAAACTAAGTTCTGTGTGCTGATACCACATTTGCTGATTAAGACTTCTGTTTGAACAACAGCACAAATACTGAAGAACCTCAGTGCCTTTAGTGGCAGAATTAAAGAAGAAAATCTAACAGCCCTGTCTCTCCCCTTCAGTAATTGAAGTCAGGTTATTTATTCCTGATACAATATTAGGTCCTAGGAAGAAAAGTACCTAATATTTATCTGTTTGTGGAGTAGCTGATCAAAGTGTGATTGGTTCCTTACAGGCTAGTTGTCAGCTTTTCCTGAGTGTTCGGCATTGTCCTCAGCAAGTGGTCTGTGTCCTGAGCAAAACAGTCCAGACTCTTCCTTGTGTTCCCCAAACCTTCCTTTATTTTTAAAACTCAACAGACCTCATCGAGTGTGTGGATACACGTTGGTGTGGACCTTACTAGTTAATTAATAGAGCTCTGAGTGTTTTGTTCCCTATTACTTTGGACAGTTTTAAGTCTGAGATTGTTTACCAATCACAGGGAAAGAAAAATTTTTTTTCCCCCACAGTAACAGAAGCCACAGATTTTGGCTAAAAATAGACTCTAAAATTTCTAAGCCTTAGAGATGTTCTTTTCATTTTCTGTTGTCTCATTTTGACTTTTTTAGCAAGCTGGGTCTTTGTTGAAAATGTATTTGGAAAGGGAGTTAGCTTCTACCACCATCAAATGACTGGTGTCCCAGTCTGTGGAGAACTTGTGGGATTAATGAAGTTTGTCTTAGGGGAGAGAAGGCTGGTCTGTTGGGGGAGAGGTAGTGGACAGACAGGTAAAAGTAAGGCCAGGGGGCTGGGACTGAGCAGGTGAGCTTTCCACGAATACCTGGTGTTTGCAGAGCTGGGAATGGTTGGCCTTTTTAGCCCGTCCTCCCCACATCCAGGTGGTCCCTGGGTCTGTTGACAGGTCTCTTCTCTTGACAGTCTGGCCACTCTTTTTTGTGTCCATTGCTTCCTTCCATTTCCATCTCTTAGTGTGGGCCCCACCCTTTCCCTTCTAATACCCCAGCCTTAGAATTCCTGCCTTCAGGATTGTCCTCCTTCCAATCCCGTAAGCCACATTGCAGCCAAATCTCCCAAACGGCACTCTCCTGCTTTAAAATACCTTAATGGAGCCCCACTGCCCCCAGGTAAGTCCAGACTAATTTCTAGTGTGATACATGTTTTGATTCCTCCTGCTTGCTTTTCCTTTTCTGTCCTTGACCTTCAGGTTCAGTCTGCTCAGTCCTTCCTTCCCTGATGAACAAAGTCATTATTAGGTGTTTCTCCCGCATTCTTCGGTAGCAACCCGTACTTCCCCAAAGCATGGTCATTAATTCAGGACAGTCTTGTTGCTGCTTTCTGGTACGTGGCCCCCGTTAAAGTGAAGCTCTGCCAGGATAAGGGTCTTGACAGTCCTGTTCACGTAGTACTGCCATATAGTAAATATTGGCCCAGTGAATGAAGAGCCAGAAGTCCGAGGAGCTCTGCTTCCTTTACAGAGCCTTTCTGAATGCAGGTTTCATTTTCTTAAAAGGGGCCTAATTCAGCAGGGACTCAGGTGGTACTGTAGAGAAAGCAGCGCCATGGACCATCCCTGTGAGCACTAAATGGGCTTGTGATAGTGCCTGTCTTAGAGCAAGGGTGCTGTCCCTGTGATTCTTTCCAGCCGCTTCTCCACTTCTCTGCTTTCCTTGATAGCGTCACTCTAGCCTCCCTGTCTCCCTGCTCTGTCCGTTTTCTTAGGAACTCCATTAGGCATTTGTCCCCACTGCTCTGCTAGAACAGTCGTCACCACCACCACACCTCCACCTTGATAAATTGGATGTTTAGCCCTCCGTCCTCCTCTTAGCCAACCCATTCGTAGTTCCGGACACAGCTGATCGCTCCCTCCTTTTGAAACTTTCTTTACTCTTCTTGGCTCTCCAGATAACCTCACTGGCCATTCCTCTGACCTGTAAGTCCTGGAGTCATCTGGGGGACTGTCTTCCCGCCTCTTTTCTGTCTGCATTCATTCTCCAGGTGGCCTCTTGCAGTCCTGTGCTCCAAATACCACTTCCGGTTTGAGGACTTGTAGAGTCTGGGCTCAGCCTCTTTGTTGAACTTGAGTCCTGTAAAACAAATGACTTAATATCTTTACTCAGGTGTGTGTGTGTCCCAAAGTAACTCTTGATTTCCCCTCAACACACACACTCACCGCCGGGGGGCCGGGGGCGGGGGGAGCTCAGACCTACTTTTCCCTCAGTCTTTCAGTAAATAGTATTACTACAGTTGCTGTGGAATCCTCCTTGACTCCTCCCTCTCTCCCTCTCTCTCCTGCCCACCACAGCCAGTCAGCAATCTTGTCAGCCTTTTATCTTCAAAATATATCCAGTGTCTGACCACTTACCAGCACCTCTCCCTGCCTCCATCCTTGTCCACCTAGAGTTTTCCTTTTGTCAGTCCCTCCCCACCCCAGCCTTTCTGACTTCTTGCTGTTTTTTTGAACACATCTAACATGTTGACTCAGCTCATGCATCTGCTGTTTCCTCTGTCTGGTGGGCTTCCCTCCCCCAGATACTTGTATGACTCATTTTCTTTAGGCCTCTGCACCACTGTCATCTTACTAGTGAGCCCCTTCCTGACCCACCTGTCTGCCATCTACCTCAGGTTGGGCTCAGGTGGGTTTCTTCTGGGTATAGAGACTCAGAAGTCACTTCAGGTCTTTATTTCCTTCTTCAGATGCTCCTGAGTTCTTTTTTCTTTTTATTAAGTTTTTATTTTAATTCCAGTATAGTTAATATACAGAGTTATATTGGTTTCCGGTGTACAATGTAGTGATTCAGTAGTTCTGTACGTTACTCTGCTCATGATGGTAAGTGTACTCTTAATCCCCATCGCCTGTTTCACCCATCCCCCCACCTCTGGTAACCACCAGTTTGTTCTCTGTAGTTAAGAGTCTGTTTCTTGGTTTGTCTTTTTTTCTCTTTTTTCCCCTTTGCTCATTTGTTTCGTTTCTTAAGCCCCACACGTGAGTGAGATCATATGGTGTTTGTCTTTCTCTGACTGACTTACTTTGCTTAGCATTATACTCTAGCTCCATCCATGTTGTTGTTGCAAATGGTAAGATTTCATTCTTTTTTATGGCCGAATAATATTCTTGTGTATGTGTGTGTGTTTATATACCACATATTCTTTATCCATTCAACTATCGATGAACGCTTGGGCTGCTTCCAGAGTTTAGCTGTTGTAAATAATGCTGCAGTAAGCATAGGGGTGCATGTATCCTTTTGAATTAGTGTTTTTGTATTTTTTTGGGGGTAAATACCCAGTAGTGCGATTACTGGATCTTACGGTAGTTCTATTTTTGATTTTTTTTTGAGGCACCAGTTTGCATTCCCACCAACAGTGCATGAGGGTTTGAGGGTTCCTTTTTCTCCACAGCTCCTGAGTTCTTAATAATTTGATTAGGCTTGGAAAATGTCCTAGCTTCTAAATACATAGTTTTGGTCAGGAAGGAAGGAAAGAATCATTCTATTCAAGACAGCCTACGAAGAACCTAACCTGGTAATGTGACTAACAGTTTTCTAGTTTCAGTTTGGAATCATGAGGAATAGAATTCACAACAAGACTCCTGATATATCCAGTATTACTGGATACTGGATCCGAATCCAGTCCTGAATCCAGGATTGTTTCAATATCCAACACAGGTGTTTTTTTTTTTTTTTTAAGGTTTTGTTTATTTATTTGAGAGAGAGAATGCAAGAGAGAGAACAAGCATGGGGAGGGGCAGAGGGAGAGGGACAAGCAGGGAGCACAGTGTGGGGCTCGATCCTAGAACCCTGGGATCCTGACCTGAGCCTAAGGCAGATGCTTAACTGACTGAGCCACCCGGGCGCCCCTCCAGCACAGTTTTAAGTGCTACAATTTCTGTCAACACAATTGTATTTATATGTGTGTGACTGAACACAGAAGAGATTCGAAGGTCCATGTGGCCACACTTTGTTCACGTACGTATCCTCATCGCATGGTGTATGGCCTGGTGTGTAGCAGGCGCTCTGTAAATATTTGTTGAATAAGTGAACAAAATGGATTCCTATTCAATATAGTTTCATAAATGGGAAGGTAGAGCTTTTTATTGCTGGTCACACTCTCCCACACGTATCTTCGGTGATAAGAGAAATGGCTTGCATAGTAAGAATTGATCATAAAGTGGCTAGATTTTGTCCTCAAGCCTGTGCTTCTGCTTCCCTGTGCTTTCTAGGTCCCAAAGAAGAGGACGAGAAGGCGTCAGTCTCTGCAGTGGAGCAGACAGCCGTTCTTCAGGAGGCGGTCAGTCAGGATGTGCCTCCGGAGCTCGTCGTCCCCCCCGCCGCCTGTGAGCCCCACACGGAACCAGACGAGAGGCCAGCAGCCACGAACTGTGAGGTGAATGATGTGGAGGAAGAGGAGGAAGAGGACGAGCTGGAGGAAGAGGACGAGCTGGAGGAAGATGGGGAGGAAGAAGCTGACATGCCAAATGAAAGTTCTGTGAAAGAGCCAGAAATACGATGTGATGAGAAGCTGGAAGATTTACTAGAAGAACCAAAACATGTGTCAAAAGAAACGCTTGCAGGCTCTCTGGAGGTTCCACCTGTTTCCAGAACTCCCAAAATGAAAGAAGAGGCCAATGGCGACATCTTTGAGACGTTTCTGTTCCCGTGTCAGCACTGTGAGAGGAAGTTCACGACCAAGCAGGGGCTCGAGCGCCACACGCACATCCACATGTCCACAGTCAATCATGCTTTCAAGTGCAAGTACTGCGGGAAGGCATTCGGCACGCAGATCAACAGGAGGCGGCACGAGCGGCGCCACGAGGCGGGGCTGAAGCGCAAGCCTGGGCCCGCGCTGCAGCCGCCCGTCGACCCGGCAGACGGCAGAGCCCCCGGAGACCGCGCCGCCGCCGCGCATGGCTCGCCGCCCTCCGGCCTCGGGCAGGACTCTCTGCTTTCGCATTCAGAGAAGGCCCCCCTGGAAGCGGTCAGTTCTTCTGTTGTAGAGGAGAACGGGGACGTTAAACAGCTGCATCCGTGCAAGTACTGTAAGAAGGTGTTCGGAACGCATACGAATATGAGACGGCATCAGCGTAGAGTGCACGAGCGCCATCTGCTCCCCAAGGGCGTGCGGCGGAAAGGGGGCCTCCTGGAGGAGCCACGCCTGCCCGCGGAGCAGGCCCCGCCCGCCCAGAGTGTCTACGTGCCCAGCACGGAGCCAGAGGAGGACGGGGAGGCAGAGGACGTGTACATCATGGATATCTCCAGCAACATCTCGGAAAACCTAAAGTTCTATATTGATGGCAAAATTCAGACCAGCAGCAGCACGAGTAACTGTGACGTCATCGAGATGGAGTCCAGCTCGGCCGACTTGTATGGGATCAATTGTCTGCTTACTCCAGTTACGGTGGAGATCACCCAAAATGTAAAGACCACGCAGGCCGCCATAGCAGATGATCTTCCTAAAGAGCCTTCCAGCGGCACGAACAGCGAGTCCAAGAAACGGAGAACCGCGAGTCCTCCCGCGCTACCTAAAATCAAAGCGGAGACGGAGCCTGAGCCCTCGGTGCCCTCGTGTTCCTTACTGCCTCTCAGCATATCCACGTCAGAGGCAGTGTCTTTCCACAAAGAAAAAAGTGTGTACTTGTCATCGAAGCTCAAACAACTCCTTCAGACCCAGGACAAGCTAACTCCTGCAGGCATTTCAGCGACCGAAATACCGAAGTTAGGGCCCGTTTGTGTGTCCGCTCCCGCGTCCATGCTCCCCGTGACCTCGAGTCGGTTTAAGCGGCGGACCAGTTCTCCTCCCAGTTCCCCACAACACAGTCCTGCCCTTCGAGACTTTGGAAAGCAAAGCGAAGGCAAAGCAGCGTGGACTGATGGAGTTCTAGGTTCCAAAAAGCCCAAATTAGAAAGTCATAGCAACTCACCCGCGTGGAGTTTATCTGGGAGAGAGGAGAGAGAAGCCGTGAGCCCGCCATGCTTTGACGAATATAAAGTATCTAAGGAGTGGGCAGCCAGTTCTACTTTCAGCAATGTGTGCAACCAGCAGCCACTGGATTTATCCAGCGGTGTCAAACAGAAGGCTGAGGGCACAGGCAAGACTCCGGTCCAGTGGGAATCTGTATTAGATCTCAGTGTGCATAAGAAGCCTTGTAGTGACTCTGAAGGCAAGGAGTTCAAAGAAAACCATCTGGTACAGCCAGCCTGCAGTGCTGTAAAGAAAAAGAAACCAACTACCTGCATGCTGCAGAAGGTTCTTCTCAATGAGTACAATGGCCTCGACTTACCTGTAGAGAGCACTGCAGATGTGACCCGGAGCCCGAGTCCTTGTCAGTCCCTGGACCCCCAGCCAGACGCTGGCCTTGGCCCAGACTCCAGTTCATCGGCCCCTGTGGCTGAGTCCCCACCCGATGTCTCTCCTTCCTCGCCTGCCCTACAGACCTCTTCCCTTTCTTCTGGGCAATTGCCTCCTCTCTTGATCCCAACACACCCCTCTTCCCCCCCAGCCTGTCCTCCCGTGTTGACTGTTGCTACACCACCGCCTCCACTCCTTCCTACTGTCCCTCTTCCGGTCCCCTCTTCCGAGGCATCTCCCTGTCTGTGTCCCTCTCCGCTCTCGAATGCCACCGTGCAGTCCCCGCTTCCCATTCTCTCCCCTACGGTGTCTCCGTCACCGTCTCCCATCCCTTCCGTGGAGCCGCTCACGTCTGCTGCTTCGCCCGGACCCCCGACCCTTTCCTCGTCTTCTTCCTCGTCTTCTTCCTCGTCTTCTTCCTTCTCCTCTCCGTCTTCCTCCTCTTCCCCCTCGCCGCCACCGCTCTCAGCCGTCTCCTCTGTTGTTTCCTCTGGGGATAATCTGGAAGCTTCTCTGCCCATGATAACTTTCAAGCAGGAGGAACTAGAGAATGATGATCTGAAACCCAGGGAAGAACTCCAGTCTGCAGTTGAACAGGAGATTGTTCAGGAAACATTCAACAAAAACTTCGTCTGCAATGTCTGTGAATCACCTTTTCTTTCCATTAAAGATCTAACCAAACATTTATCTGTCCATGCTGAAGAATGGCCCTTCAAATGTGAATTTTGTGTGCAGCTCTTTAAGGCTAAAACTGATCTGTCAGAACATCGCTTTTTGCTTCATGGAGTTGGGAATATCTTTGTGTGTTCAGTTTGTAAAAAGGAATTTGCTTTCTTGTGCAATTTGCAGCAGCACCAGCGAGATCTCCACCCAGACAAGGTGTGCACCCACCATGAGTTTGAAAGTGGCACCCTGAGGCCCCAGAACTTCACCGATCCCAGCAAGGCCCATAGAGAGCATATGCAGAGTTTGCCAGAAGATCCTTTAGAAGCGTCGAAAGAAGAAGAAGAGCTAAATGATTCCTCCGAAGAGCTTTACACAACCATAAAAATAATGGCTTCTGGCATAAAGACGAAAGACCCAGATGTCCGACTGGGCCTCAATCAGCATTACCCGAGCTTTAAACCGCCCCCATTTCAGTACCATCACCGAAACCCCATGGGCATTGGCGTGACGGCCACAAATTTCACGACACACAATATCCCACAGACGTTCACCACTGCCATTCGCTGCACAAAGTGCGGGAAGGGTGTTGACAACATGCCGGAGTTACACAAACACATCCTGGCGTGTGCTTCTGCCAGTGACAAGAAGAGGTATACCCCTAAGAAAAACCCAGTTCCCTTGAAACAGACTGTACAGCCCAAAAACGGTGTGGTGGTTCTAGAGAACTCCGGGAAGAACGCCTTCAGACGGATGGGACAGCCCAAAAGACTGAACTTTAGCGTCGAGCTCAGCAAGATGTCCTCGAACAAGCTCAAACTAAACGCGCTGAAGAAAAAAAACCAGCTTGTCCAGAAAGCAATCCTTCAGAAGAACAAATCTGCGAAGCAGAAGGCCGACTTGAACGCCGCCTGTGAGCCGGCCTCACACGTCTGCCCGCACTGCCGCAGGGAGTTCACGTACGTCGGGAGCCTCAACAAGCACGCCGCCTTCAGCTGTCCCAAAAAGCCGCGCTCTCCTGCCAGAAAAAACGTTGCCCACTCCTCCAAGAAAGGCGGGCACGCTTCCCCTGCAGGGAGCGACAAAAACAGCAGCGGCCACCGGCGGCGCACGGCGGACGCGGAGATCAAGATGCAAAGCATGCAGGCTCCTCTGGGCAAGACCAGAGCGCGCAGCTCGGGCCCCGCTCCCGTGCCGCTGCCCTCCTCGTCCTTCAGGTCCAAGCAGAATGTCAAATTCGCGGCTTCGGTCAAGGCCAAAAAGCCAAGCTCCTCCTTAAGGAACTCGAGCCCAATGAGAATGGCGAGAATAACTCACGTCGAGGGGAAAAAGCCCAAAGCGGTGGCCAAGAACCATTCTGCCCAGCTCGCCAGCAAGACGCCCCGGGGCCTGCACGTGCGGGTTCAGAAGAGCAAGGCCGTCCTGCAGAGCAAAGCCGCTTTGGCCAGTAAGAAAAGAACAGACCGGTTCAATGTAAAGTCTCGAGAACGGAGCGGGGGGCCGGTCACCCGAAGCCTCCAGCTGGCGGCCGCTGCCGACCCGGGGGACGGCAGGAGGGAGGACAGCGGTGGCAAGCAGGAGCTGAAGGACTTCAGGTAAGCCGAGTCTTCCAGGGCCAGAGGAAGTCCGAGCTGACGAGCGCGGGGGGGAAAGACGGTTGGAAGAACACCATATTCTTGCCCAATGGCTATTTTTTCCTTTTTTCCTGTAGAATTTTGACATAAGCATTTAAAGGAAGTAGCTGTTGGTTCAGTTGGAGGCACGAAGAAGGGTCACGGCTTTGGCTGCCTCAGACCTGAATTCCCAGCTTTTGTGTCAGACCTAGGACTCACCGAGTGGTACCGTTTCTTTATTAGGGCCGGTTGTGAATTGAATTTAAAACCATGAAAGAGCTCCCAAAAGTACCCTATTATGAAAAGATGAAATTCTCTCACACTTCCTTCATATCTTGGGTAATATCTCATGTCACTTTGTATTATTTCCGGATCATAGATCATTGCTCATGGTTACGGTTGGATCACCGAAGTTCGTTGAAACCACATTGCAATCTTGTTTAATATTTCTGTGACTGGAGCATAGTTATAGTAATTGAGCATGCTTTTATTATTCATGCTTTCTTGTATTGTGTTGTAATTTGAAAAAATTGCCTCACTGGTTAAAACAAACACCCAACACCGGACTCTCTTTTGAGATGCCTTATTCCACACACACACCCCGCCCGCCCCCCCCCCAACCAACCCACTCCTGTCTCCAGACATAGGACAAGAAACAGGCCAGATTCTGAAGAAAGGAGAGGAGGGAGCGCTGAGAGCCTTGCAGTGGGGGCAGAGTCTGGCAGGTCCCTCGGACAGGTGTGGCAGCCCAGGGCAGGTCGGCCCCATGTGTCAGCAGCGCCTTTGTTCCCCCAGTAATGGCGGAAGACTTCATCTTAGGTTGGAGGTGATTTCACTGTTCTATTCTGTGTCCTCCCTGTATTAAGAACTGTTCTCAGTGACACATTAAAAACACAGGGCAATAGTTAAATATGTCATACTGACTTTTCAGATTTTCCAAGTTAACTCAAGTAACCCGAATTGACGTTGTGTTTTTGGAATCCCTGTTGCCTGGATAATGCCTCCAGGTGAATCCTGTGTGAAATAGTCAACATCAGATAGAATTTCTGCAAAATATTTTAAAATCTTGTCCTTTCATAGTGATGAGCTGCTCGGCTCTAGGCTTTCTTGGCTGTAACTTTCAGTGTCTGAAAACTCTCTGGTGTTTCAGGCAAACCATTAGAATGAGTTCTGGGGAGTGACTGCCATTTTGGAGAGGTCACGAGGACTCAGGTGCTGTTATCACTGCACAGTTGATGAGTGGAGTTCTCGGTGCTGGTGTGCCTTAAGTCGTGGCTAAAGAAAGATGTAGAGAAGGGTCATTGGCCAAGGCTGATTGGAATGATTTACCGTAGGAACGAAGAGTCACATTTTTAAGAAGCGACTTTCGTGAGTGAACTAAGTAATCCGTCACGGTAGTTCCAATTCAGCATCTGGTCTCTGGCCATGGCATATGCATTAATATAGCATCTTGGAGCTTAGCCCTGGTGAAAATGCACACCTATGTATCAGCTGTTCAAGCTGCCTGCCTGTGGCAGTTTAACTGTGTACCTGTTTGTACCCCGTCTGTGTTCTGGAAGTTCCACAACAACAGGATGTTCTTGAACCGAGTCCTTTTCAAGGTTAAAGAACCAGAAAATGCCATTATTTTCACTGACTGTACTAAAAAACATCTCCCGGGTGGTTGATGCTTTAGAATGTACTGTGTGCATCCCTTTTTGTCTGCAGTGTTACCTGAAAGAATCACTTATTTTGTACTGGATCCCATTTATACGATTCAAGGGTGAGGTTATGAAAAATTAAAGTACTATAAAGATAAACTCTCTTGAGTAACTATACATGTATGAAGTTCATTCACTTGGCCTCTTACTCATCCAGTGCTTTTTGACGAACCCTGAAAACTGCAAAGGACCAAAGTGCCTAATAAAATTGTGTCTCTCTTCTTTGCTCCAGTTAATCTTAATTATTTTGCTTTATTTGGTAGTTAACAGAGGGTTCCATTGCTGGAATGCATTTGGCCTAAAAGCAAGCACTGAAGAGTCTGATAAGAAGACACTGCCATTGTTTCTAACGGGTAGATGGCGGCAGCAGGCGTCCCCTCCCCGGTGGCAGGAGTCTCTGGCACTGTGTACTGTGGGCACAGCTGAATGAAGGACGTGTGTCCTACACTTGGGGGGGGGGTGCTGCTTAGAGGTGACCACAAATTCGTGAAGTATTTTTGGCAAGTGAAAAAAACAACACGTTCCGTAGGACATCATAGTTTAATTATCTGGACAGAAGAGTGGGCATTTCTTCCAAGAGTTTGGTGTGGTCTTCTTAGCACCTTGTCGTGCATTTGCTATAAAACTGGGATTCCTAAGCTCCGGCCTCCGGAAGGTGGGTGGGGGGATGGTCATCACTGTCCAGCCCAGGGCTCTTAGAAAGCCGGCCTCATCCTCCCTCCATGTTGGGTGTGTTACACTGGAAAGGAATTGTTTTAGGTGTAGTCTTCATCCCTTCTCAGTATATTTCTGCTTGTAAATTTTATTCGGGGCTGATTTCATGGCGCATGTTTAGGAGGAGTTGCTTTGCCTTTGTTTTTTCAGTGATTTTGCTTTACTTAGCCCATTGCGTATTCACGGACTTACACCGAACTGGCCGCACATCCTTTTCCTGTGTGTCTCAGCCTGACAGACTGTGATTCAGAGCTAGTCCCCAGCACTCAGACATTTTAACATTTGAATGCCAGTTGAGGATTCCACAGTTTCTCAAGCCATGTGAATGAAGTCGGAGTTTCCCATTGAATGCTGAGGGCTCAGCAGAATTTGCCAGTTGGTCATTTCCTGGAGCACAAGACATTGTGCCAGTCGGGGTGTAAAAAAGACCCGTGTTCCAAATCCTCCTCTTAGGACAGGGCAGCAGAGGACACCGGGCATACCGCCCATCTTTAGATTGTCCCGGGACAGCTGTCAACCCAGTGGACCCTACCCTTTGTTGGGCTCACCTCACATGGTCAGTGGCCAGAGCCCACCTGCATGTTGTGGGACTGGAGTTAGATCTCTTGCTGAGGGCTCATTTCCACCTGCTGTAAGAGGGAGGAAAGACCAGGAAAGAGATAGCCGTCTTTGGTCTTTGTAAATTTCGAGGTGTTCTTAACATTCTTCAATGCTTCTTTTAGAGCAGCTTAACAAAATACTGTGTTCCCGTTAAACACTTAAAGATGGAGCAACATGAGATATACCGGACCATGTTTTCCTGTTGGCCACCGTGATGCTAAGTTTTCACATACCTGTCTCTGCCACAGACCACTCCAAAGAGACCTGCTCGTGGTCCTTCCCAGCCTCTCTCGAGTAGGATACCCAAGTTCCTGTGCACCTTCAGAGTCCTTCTGTTGTTGTTCATAACGACATTTGTTGAACAGTCTACGTACTGTTCCGTTAACACAGTCAGGTCATGTCAGGTGATGTTGCCATTCATCTTCAGTTTCCTTGTTTTCTAGGAGCTTCCTGTATGTAGAAAAGCCCCCCAGACAAAGCAAACCTTAATTGACTAAATAAAGATATTGCATGCTCAACTTAGGATAAGCACTACGGCCAAGGATACGAGATCTACCACGCTTGCAAGACCAGTTGAAGCTGACTCAAATATCCTCACACACGACTGACTGTCGGCAGGCTTCTTGCTGCCCCGGTTAGGGTCGGGTCTCCGTTGCTTTGCCAGAGCCCAGCGCGTGCACTGGGCTCCCAGACAATCGGGGTACAAGGAGGAGGGCATGTCGCCACGGCGCTGGGGGCTCAGATCTGAGCGCAGCCCTGGGTCTTGGCACACAGGAGAGAAAGGAATGATTGGAACTTAACCTTGCAGAGCAAGTTCTGGTTTATGAGTAGTACTCTGTAGATTTCAGGGACAACAAATTCTGATGCACTCATTCTAAAATGCTTCGGTCACACACCAGCTCTTGATGCCTTTCTTTTAAATGAGTTATATACAGAGAGGCATTTAGCTTCTCTCAGCTTGTTTGTTCTTTTTCTGTTTTTTTTTTTTTTTTTTTAATATATATCACAAGCAGATTGCCAGCATAATGGAGAGGAAACCGGATTGGATATGGATTTTTTTTTTTTTTTTAAAATGCTTCTTCCAGTGTCATGTTCATATATCCAGATGGACATTATCCTCTCAGATGATTATCTGGCACTAATTTATAACTATTATATTATTGGAGACTATGTAGCAATATATATGCAGCCAGGATGCACCCCAGGCCTCTACAGATGTATGTCTACATGTAAGTATAAATGAATTTACATGCCAGGTTTTACACTTCCGTCTCTAAAAGAGAGCAAAAAATCCACAAATTGGCCTCGTCCTGAGTGGATGTGTAAGTGTTGTTTCTCTGTGCGTTCTATGCCTTCCCCTTAATTGATGACTGAGGTGGTGGAAAATGGCTTTTATTCATGTTGTTTTTTGTTCTCAACTTTAAAAGTAATCTACCTCTGAAAATGTGTAGTTTGATGCTTGTTTGGTGAATTTGTGCCACTTTAACCCTTTCGCGACCATTCCCATTTTGTTACGTTTCTGTTATGGGGACTTTTATGTTGAAATTTTGTACAAAGCATTTGTAGCAGTTTAAAAATAAAATATTTAAAATTATTTAAATTGTTTTGGACACTTCAATTGTATTATATGTGATTTACATTTTACATTTTTGTTGGAGTTGTTAATCTGGAGAGTGTTTTTGTATTGAAGTTTGCTGTTAGTTATTTTATTCTTTCTTGTTGGAGAGTGATATAAAAGACTATTCTAATGAAAACATTAAAATTTACAATTTGACATACAAAAGGGGTTGTCCGTTGATTTTAACCAATGTAGCTTTGAGAGAGAGAGAGAGAGGGAGGGGGGTTCATTACAGACAGGTGTGCCCTTTGCTCTTCTTCCCCTTCTGGTATGAAAGAAATCATCAGAGCTTGTCAGATGTCTAAGAAGTGTTTTTATGCTATTGCTAGCAAGCACTTAATAACTAGAGGGAATTCAAGTGATACGTTTTATATAATTGTAACCAATAAAAACACTTTCTAAACCCTTGTGAAAGGATTGCTTTTGTACATCCTCGGGAGGAAGAGGAAGGGGCCGCAGGAGCGGTCGGGGGCCGCCCTCGGTAGGAAGTGGCGGCACGTAGAGTCCACCCAGACCTCTCTTCGCTCGTTCCTATTTGGCATTCACCGAATGTGGGTTACACTGCTTATATCCCAACGAGAGGGTAGACATGCAATCGGGACAGTGGTGCTGAGAAGTACCTTGTGAACTTACTTTGCTAAGAGGGAAATAAAGAATTTCATGTGTGGGGTCTCGGCTTCCTCTGTGCTTGTTAACAGTTCACTTTGGGGTTCTTTCTTTTTAAGAATTCCCGGAAGAATGAAACCAGTTGTAACGTTTGTATTAAGCTTATATGGAATTGCTGTGTGTGTGTGTGTGTGTGTTTTAATTAAAAACGATCGAATACAAGCAGTTTCATAATGTCTTCCACTGCAGCACTTGCTGTTCTCATACTTTCTTCCTTTCTCTGCGTGTTACTGCACCTGAGGGCACAGTGGTGAAGCTGAAGGTGTGATCAGCCTCCCTTGGCCAGATGGTCCCGTCCCGTCTCTGGCTTATGGTCCTTATGGTACTCTGCTGTTACAGAAACCCAGGGGAGGAGGCAGGCGTGGAGGAGGTTGAGGGCTTGATGGAGCTTCAGAACGGCTTTCAGAATGCCTTGTTTTAAATGTCCTGCTCAACTCACCCAGTGCCCTGTTGATGAGTTGGGCCTTGTGCCTTGTGAACTTGAGCACTGGGCTGGGAAGGAGAAGTGGGTTTCCATTGTGGCCCGGGTGCTCGCCATTCATCCATCCCTCCATGTGCCAGTGAACAGGCATCTGATGGGTGCCCTCTGTGTCCCTGCTGTGGGTGGCTTCACCTTGGGCAAGTTCTTTTACTTTCTGGATCTTCGTTCCCAATCTGGTTAGCAGGGAATGGGCTAGATAGTCTCTGAGTTTTCCTTCCAGAAGGAGGTCTTTTTTACTGGGTTTGGTTACTCACAGACTATCTCACTGGACTGAAGGGGCAGGGCCAGGTCTGGCTCCGTGGGACCCGGGTGCTGACAGCAATGCCTGAGCGTGACAGGCACGCGGACATTGACTCAGTGGAAGAGTCCCCAAGAAGTCCAGTAACTCCCACCCCACCAGGAACAGGCTGCCCCCGGGCTGGTTGCTTTTCCTCTTCATGGAGTCAAACATTTTAAAAAATTCAAAAGGCTAGTAATTGAAGCCTTACGTTTCTGCTCTTTTAAAGCACCTCTCACTGTTTTTGATTACAAACCCTTCTCTGGGCTGGCTGTTTTAATCTGGTTGATTCAGGTGCTTCTAGCAAGATGTTGTACAGAATCACATGAATTTATCGTGCACCCACCATATACCAGGGCTGTGTTTGGGAGCCTAGGTTACGTAAGTGGACCAAAATCCCGGCACTTGTGGAACTTACATTTGCTCGGTGGTCTCTCCTATTTATACTTCCTATTGAAAACGTCGTCACTCTGTCACGGTTCTCCAAAAGCTGGGTGGTCAAGAAGATGCCTCTGGTTTCTTCTTTGAGGGTAGATATCTAGAGGACTGCCATCTTTTAATACTTAGGTTAAAGTGACCATACTAAAATGATAGCTCATTTCCTGCATTTGATACTTAGGTGGATTTTGATTTGCTATCAAACCTCCAAATGGATTGACTTATATCCATAAAAGAAGTGTAAGTGGCACTTGACCTTGAAAGTGGATTACAGTGCAGGTGAGTGAGAGAAAGGCTGCCTTGGATACCAAGGCCACATTTAAAGACCCGGCTGATGGTTAGAGGAAGCGGTTTGCCATTTGTCACATTTTCGGAGACCCGGTGGCCTGTGGCCTCTTCCCTACCTGGTGGCACCAGCCCTGCTGCTCCCACTTGGGCATCTCATCTTTCAGTGACTGTCCTCCTAAAGCACCATTGAAGGGTGTATTCTAGAGCAGAGAGAGAGAGATCGAGTCGTCTTGAGAGACTGCAGGGCACCTGGCAGTGACTGGCATGCTGGTCGGGGGCAGGCAAGGCTGTCAGAAGACGAGCCACAGCCCTGCCCTCTCGTGCAGTGGCGCTCCGACAACCCAGAGAGGTACTAAGCTACCAGCTCCAAAGCCCTACAACCAGCCATTTAAATTAGATGGTGGGCGGGGCCTGGGTAGCCTATAGTTTTAAGCCCCAGGTAATGTCCGTGCATGTTGCAGACTTCCTGAAGTGAGGTGGGAGAAATGACAACGAATATGTGTGGCTCTTCATTGCTCAAGCACTCGTGTGTTCCCTGTGTGCCCCATTTTTCTGAAGGCGGGAGCGAGAGGTGACCTGGGAGGTGGGGAGTAAGGGACTATTCTGAAGCCAGGCTTGAACCCTGGGCTGTAGAAAAGCATGTGTACTTTATGGAAAGAAGAGATGATAGGCCTTGAGGGGAAGAGGAAGGCTGTCCAGTTGTGCAGTTTCTTAGCCAGTATTCTAAGGTCACAGCCCCTGTTGGGTCCCTCTGTCCGGGTGCCTGGACTTTTTTCTGGGAGTTTGCCTACAAGATGCAGGACCTTTAAGTACACAGTGCCAGGAGATAAAAGATAATAGTAGGCGCGAGGTCCAGATTGATGGGCATGATGACCTCCATATTACTGTTAAAATTCTTTTTAGACAAAATGAAAGCAGTGTCAAAAAAAAAAAAAAAGATTGAATGGAACAAAGCTTGCGGTTTGAGGAGGTGCGACAAAGGGGAAAATGTAAACTACTCATTGACCCATCCTTTGGGGCCCTGTGGCCCAGTCTCCTGTTCGGGACCGCCCAGGCTTCCCTGCTGTATTACCCCCCCCCCCCCCCGCGGTCCCGCTTCCAACCGCATGGTGCACTCCAGCTCTTCCTTCCGCCTCCCGCCCCTGGGCCGCTTCCTCTCCAAGTGGTTTTGGAAACTACCTAATAAGCCTCGTTAAGTTGGATACAGCTTTCTAGTGCTTTCTGTGCGTGAGGGACTGTGCTAAGCATCTTTCAGACTTGACTCGACAGTAACACCTTGAAGTTGGTACCGAGCGCAGATGGGGAAACAGATCCTGGCAGGGGGGTGATTTTGTTCAGAGGTCCTACCACTCTCAGCAAGTTGGGATTTGAGCTGCCTCCAAGCTACGCCATTCTGTTGATCATTTTTTATAGTTCTGTATATTTCTTAAAGCTTCATTTCCTCTGAGTGTAGAATACAGGCCTTGATACCTTCTCTACTCAGGGCTTTTCGGCTTAGTGAACAAGTAGAATCATCACGGTGGGTTGCGAGTCTTCCTGGTGCAACCAGAGCGCAGATGATCAGGAGCTGCCCCCGAACCCCCGTGTCCAGCCTCACTCTGGCCGTGGAATATGCCTCTGCCTGCCGTAGACCTTGCAGCTCTGACAGGCTTTATGGGTCAGTCTGCTTCGTCAAGGAAAATCTGCTTAATAGAAACCAAGCTCGTTGTAGTAATATCCTTTGATTTTGAAAGTGGTCCTAAGGATGGGGCCTGGGGGTCATCAGGAGTCCTCCTCAGATGTCACTTGAGAACCTTGCCCTGTCGGGCATTAGCCCAGAAGGATAGTTGATCCAGGCTTGCCTTCCCACCTCAGCCCAGTGCAGAGCAAAGGGTTACGTTTCTGCCGGTAGTTATTTTTGAACGATAGGATTAGAGCCTGGAGGGTATATGTAGGTTTTATTTACTTTCTGGATTAAGAATAAGAATTGGGGAAAACCGTCATGCTCTGCATTAAATTACTTGCAGTTGCAAAAATGATGTTCCGTCGTGAGCCACGAAGATGGTCTTGGAGATACTTTTATAAGAGAAAACTTAATGGGGCGCCTGGGTGGCTCAGTTGGTTAAGCGCTGCCTTCGGCTCAGGTCATGATCCTGGAGTCCCCGGATCGAGTCCCGTATCGGGTTCCCTGCTCGGCGGGGAGTCTGCTTCTCCCTCTGACCCTCCCCTCTCATGTGCTCGCTCTCTCTCATTCTCTCTCTCAAATAAATAAAATCTTAAAAAAAAAAAAAAAAAGAAAACTTGCTGAACTGTTGGGATAATAGCATTTGTACATGCTTCTGTCTTCTGCCTCACTTGGACCAGCTGGATTCCCTTTCAGCTGCCTCGTATAGGAAGTGACCCGAAATTGAGGCGATGTTCCAGAAAACGTAAAATATTTTATGGAAGAAGTTAGTGCCTAAATGTGCCTCCCCGTGTCCAGCTAGTCACCCACTGCAGGAAGCCAGACAAAGCACCCGTCCGATGAGGGGGACATTTCACTGATGAGCGAAAGCTACGGATGGATTTTGAAGCACAGGTTTATGCCCTGAGTCAGAACACATTTAAGCGAGGCGTTTTTCCGTATCTGTATCCATCTGTGGTTGGACAGGCACCTGTGGTATGATCTGGAATTGTGCTTGGATAACTAGCAAGTCTTAGTGTGAAATCTAAATGTAAATTTTAAATAGGAATCATTAAAAAAAGACCCGGCATCTGTTGTTGTACAGGTAAGTTAATAACCAAAGGGGATTTAGGCCTTAGGATACAGTTGTGGCGATTTTAATTTTTAATTTAAAACTAAGAATTTCCGTTTAAGATAATTGTGTTAGTTTTAGTATTTAATAATTGCCCAGAATATACTATTTTAATATTCTCTGTTGGAATGGAGTTGAAACTCATACGGATTCGATTTTCCCTTGCAGTAACGTTCTCCTCTCACTTGCTTTTTTTTTTTTTTTTAAGATTTTATTTATTTATTTGACAGAGAGAGACACAGTGAGAGAGGGAACACAAGCAGGGGGAGCGGGAGAGGGAGAAGCAGGCCTCCCGCCGAGCAGGGAGCCCGATGCGGGGCTCGATCCCAGGACCCCGGGATCATGACCTGAGCCGAAGGCAGACGCTTAACAACTGAGCCACCCAGGCGCCCCTAGTTATTGTTAATTATTGGTTATGTGATACCTAGAAGAGAGTAATGCCTCAATAAATGGTGGATATTATAACATTGTATTATTAT